GCTCTTCCAGAGGACACTGCACTAAAGCTTACTGGCTGCCTACGTAGCACAGGAACCGTTTTAGGGAAGAACTACAGCAAAAGAGGGGCAAAACTCAAATGCTTTGGTTTAGGATTTGTGGTAGCAGTGAACTGTTTGTGCTTAAAAATATGCCAGGCTAATTCAGCCTGCTTAGTTATCTAAATAAGCATGTTCTCCCTGTAGTGTTTGTTTGTGCTGCTTTAAAAGAAAGACAACCCCCCCCCCCCTTTTTTTTTTTTTTTAAGATGTTGGGGTAAGCAGCATGCACAACCTATTCCAAAGTAGACAAGCAGTGAGGAAAAGGGGATTCCTCTGTGTTGACAGGAACTAGAAGACTGTCGAGGGTAGATGTGCACCTAGCACAACTATAAGCACCTTGTCTTCTGCATGGTGCATCTGTTTCAGGGTAACTATCCCAGGATTTAAAAATGAAGCTTTCTTTTTACGAATGTAACAAATGTTCCGAGTAGAATTCCTTATTCCTCGCTGGGTGTCTCACCAACATTAATCAGAAGGGCCTAAGATTTAATAACATATTGCAGACTTGGGGCAGGGGAAGAAGCAGGTGTGTTTCTCTGTATTTCTCCTTGCATGTGCTTGTAGGAATTGGAATGCCATGTTTCTCTATGTTAATAGTAATATGGAAGGGTGACAAAATTCCTGGCCTGTCTGACCACAAGTATTTCTTTAGGCTGATTTCTCTTCCTGTGTGACTTTCACTTTGCAAGCTGTGGCAGGTTTCACCTGTGATGAACACTAAAGTACTCGACTGATTAAAGCTTTTGAAACGTGGTCCCTCTTTGAAAAAAATATCTGTAGACAGGCATTGTGTGATTCCAGGCTGGCTCACACAAACTTTTAATTTTTAAAATTGTCCATCATGCAGACAGACATGAACGGAATCGGTGAAAAAAGATTAAAATAGAATTGAAACTTCTTCCACATCATTTTATAGGTGTCAAAACTATTGCTTTTGTCCCAGGTGCCTTTCACAGTTTAAATTGGGTGGGATTTTAAGGAACAACTCTGCATCCTGGGACAGGGGATGTTCCAATTTGCTGTTACTGTTTTGTCTTAGGACTGCTGAAGGATCCAAACCCCCATAAAGCTGTCATTTTTTTATGTATGCGCACATTATATTCTCACACTTTTTTTTTTTCTTCCCAAGAAAACTTTGACATTCTGTTCAAACAGTGTTAATGTTATCAAGAAAGCATTACGGGGCTGTCCTTGAGAGCAATTGTAGCTATCACTGTAAGTTTGTAGGTAGATTGCATTTGAACAGTCTACTATATTAAAACAAGCAAACAAACAAGTTCTGCTGGTGAAAACTGATCTTGTGTTTTCTATATGCTTCTTGCATCTCCACATGACTTCCTTTGCAGAAGTCTGAAACACACTTGTATTTTTTAAAGCTTTGCAGAAAAATATTTTCAGATTCTGTGACACTGTGAGATCAAATACGACAAATTCAAAACTTTTCTCGTGGGTCTTCAGTTCGCAGTAGGTTCCCTTGCAGAGCCCTGAGAGCTAAGATACCTTGGTGAAAGAGACCCCAGGTGAGTAACAAACCTCTTGCTGTTGGTACCTGCCTGGTAGCTGCGTACGGGGAGCCCCGGCCTTAGCGTACGGCATGCGTTAGGTGCACTAGGTGCTGAAAGAAAAGTAATTCGCCTTTGTTCACCCATCAGCTGTACAGAACAAATGCTCTGGGCCTAGGGTTTCCAATAATCCTTGGGCTTTTAACTTGGGATGTGTAATGTGCAGGCAGTTTGTCCCTGCCGAATCCAGTTTGCATCTTGTACTGAGTGTACAAGATCTCTGTCTTGGTGTTTTCTCTACTCTCTCCACGCCAGCTGTGTGCCTACCTGCTCCCCTCTCTGATTCCAGCTTCTAAGGCTCAAATTTGGGTAACGGAGGTTGGATTTGCTGCCTTGCACCTCTCCTAGTTTTATTCATGTGAGACTCACTTTTTCATGAGCAACTTTGCCTGTGACTTAACAGTTCTGTTCTATTAAACGATAGGCAAACAGTTCTCAGCCTGTTAGATACTCAGTAATGTAGCCCCTTGTGCCACACTCTTGTGGAGGTCTAGGCACCTGGGAGGAAAGATGTGTTTGGATTTAGAAGGAATTGTCATTTCTGTTCTGGTGTCAGAGGAAACAGGCACTTGGATGCAGCAACTATAGAAGAGATGACAATTTAACGCTGCCACTGCACAGCTTGCAAAATTTAACACTTTTCTGCACAGCTTGCAACTTCTGTCTCTCCTACCGTGCTGTGTTTGTAGTGAGGTGTGCGGGGAGCCCTCTCAGTGTCTCTTGGCTCTGGTCGTCTTCCCTGTCTCTGTTCGTGCCTAGACGAGCAGCGGGGACGAGCAGCAATCTGCTCTGGCAGCGAGGCTCCTAGATGGCCACAGCTGGGGTGCTTCTCGGCTAGAAGTGTGTGAACACTTACTGCAGGGCTTTTGCAAACTGCTCTGCTGTGAAAGCAATTAACAACAATATGTTGTTACTGTGTTTTGCTTTGAAATATCTCTTACGGAAGTCCTGATGTACAAAAGGTATAATCTGATAGAAATAATGTTGCTGCTGTTTGCCATGTGGTGATGGCTCTAGGACCTGGCTGTTGGCAGCTTCAAACAGAAACCGCTTCAAGTATGACAAACACATCAAGACTTCAGCACAAATGCTCATATATTTCTGCATGTCCCCTTACTACCACCTCATTAGCAATCACTAGAGTGCAAATATGAACTTCTTCTGTTTCTACTTAAACTTCCATGTTCCTATCCAGAAAGGAATCTAAGCTCCCAGTAGTTTAGTTAACCATAAGTTACCTTAGTTTTTCTGAAACTGTCATATTTGACTCTTACTCCTGGTTATTATAAAGTGCATCACAAGTCTTTTTATTATATGTTATTTATGTTTGTTCTGCAATGTACAATGTTGGAAGAAGAAACTCACCTGGTAGATTTCTTGGGGTGCTGGTTATGATTAGTATCACACAGAGCTGTACTGTCTATCAAACTGATTGTCATAAAAACTGTTAAGAGGCTTAAAGGCTGAGAGGCTTTTAACTTAAAAGATGTTTGACATAACTCAGGTTCATGGGAAACATTCTTAATAGCATCATAGGATGTGGAAAGTTTTAAGAAATCTGATTAATCATGGGTTCTACTTATGCAGATAAATAGGCTCTTCTTGAAGTACAATGCAGACCAATTAATTTCAGTTTCCTTTTGTTTCTCTTTCACGCTTTTTTTTTCCTGATTGTGCAAAAAAACTATAAATGTTTTAAATGAAATCAGCTTGTTTTGGGGGAACTTCTGACACCATTTTCTTTTAATTGATATTAAAGAGAAATGGCAAAAATATTTTGAGTCTGACAAGAAAAAGTTTTGTTGAGATTTTTTTGCAGATATCCAGAATTGATACTGAGAGTGCTATCAGATACTAGGGTATCTTGAATTATTTTTTTCTTTCCTAATAAACTTCTGTTTCAATTAAAACTTAAACATTGGTTTACACTCTTTTCTTTCTAAGAGTTTACCAAGGCAGAAAAGGAGACACTGGAATATATTTGTGTGTATATATGTGTGTGTGTATATATATACGTGTATATATATATATACTGAATTTTGAGCTGAGAATTATAACCAGGCAAACAATTAGAAAATGTACAGTAAGCTGTAAAGAGAGATTTGAACTTCCTTGCCTCAGTTGTCCTCTTTGTCTGAAGTTCACCTCAGAAATACCCTTCCTACCCTTTACAGTTCCAGGAATGTGTCATTACTTTGCAGGGGGAAGTTTAATGAATGCTGTAATAAAAACTCTGTTGGTCATGTGTCTCAGTCCCATAGCCAACCTATGTTATGAAGACTTTGCAAAGACTCCTAGTGGAGATACAGCTGTCAGTGAAAAGAAAGTATTGCCGATATACTTAAGCTGTTTTCATGAATAGCATAAGCAGTGTTGGCACCTAGGAGTTGGTGTGGAAGTATTTTGTCAACAAGCATATATTAATTTGGAATACCTGACATCTACAGCTCGCTACCTACAAGTAAAATCCCAACTGTCCAGGTACCTAGTTTGTTGGTACATATTGGCAGGATGGTAGCTTTTTATTCCAAACTTTCCCGTTTTCATTAATATTTAACACTTGATTATATGGCACCTTAATGTAAATACTTCTCTTTGTATCCGAACCCTTGCAATGGTTAAAAGTTTCATGCTCGTAAGGATTTCAGCAAAGCCTTGTATGAGAGCTGCAGAATTAAATAACTTGGCTATTGTTGTTTTACACATGGCTCAGGCAGTAAGGCCGGGTTCCTTCTTTTTTGTAGGAGGAGATGACCGCCGGGTGCTGCTTTGGCATATGGAGGAAGCCATCCACTCCAGAGTCAAGCCGGTCCAGCTGAAAGGGGAGCATCACTCTAACATCTTTTGCCTAGCTTTCAACAGTGGGAATACAAAAGTGTTCTCTGGAGGTAAGGAAGGCAGAGAGCCCTGATTTGAGGAGTCTGCTTTATGGGTGCCCTAGAGAGGAAGCTGTGACTGAGATCCTGCCCCACATGAAAGATCTTTACCATAATCCACAAAGGATATAAAAATTATCCTTAATCAACAGCAGAGGGTTGTATGGGGGCAGAGATTTTTTTTAGCTGGGCTTGAGCTAACACAACATTCTCCATTTGGTCACGCTTTGCCTTTTTCCAAATCCTAGCCTAAGGACATTGTGTTTCCAGCTATCATGAGAATGCTGGATCCAGATCTTTCCAATCTTGCGCAATAAACTGTGTAAAGTCATCTTTATCATTCCCTCTCAGCTGTGCCGAGAGTAGATCCTGCATCTTGTCGGGCACTCCAGGCTGGTATTTTTAAAACCTTACTGCTTGTAGATACTTTTAATGCAGTCTTAGATTGGTAATGAAGGGCTGTGGCCATCTGTTGCTGGGTCACTTTTTCTCAGATCTTGTTTCAGCACTCACTAGATTAGCATCTGCCTTTTAAAATTATTGGCACACTAGGCTGTAATTGACCTTGCTATTTTTCATTATCTTTTTGGACATAAATCCATTTTTTTTAGCAGAAAGATTATTTCTGACTTAAAGGCAATGTAAGGAGAGATATGTGGTAGAAGCAAACATGTACTTGTTCTGGGATAATAACCCTAGAACTTAGTGAAATCCATCTTTCTTCTGTGTGCATATTTTCATAGCATTAAGGTAGAGAGGAGAAAGTGAGGGAGAGGAGAAAGAAAAGGAGTGTCATTTAAATACTTAATAAAGACTGTCCAAATGCAATCAGTAGAATTCTCTGCTGTACTTAATTTCTCCATCTGACATCATTATGGAAGGAGTAGGAATGTGCATCCTTCATCAGCACCTCCATTAACATATAAATAGACTTATTTTAGGCTATTTTTAGTCTGCTTGGTCAGAGCTCGTTTTTATCTTTCTTCACAGAGATTTGTAAACTGTAAGTCAGTGCTCTAAACTGACTCTAAGCACAGGAGGGTGGAGCAAATGTACTGTTCTTTAATGCTGTGCTTAAACTAAATCATCATTAAAAAAAGACTCAACAAGGTTTAAGATAGTGTCAAATATCAAGGGCAAAGTGATACAGATGAACTAAACATTGTGATGAAAAAAAAAACCCAAACCGTAGAATATTGATGCCTGTCTTGATTCTTGAGGCTGGTTTTGGTTTTATGAAAGAGATGGCAGTCCACACTGTTTCCACATTCATGTATCTGCATGAAGCCTATCATAACGCCAGTGAAGTTTTGGGCTGCAATCTGTTTAGCTTTAGTTTCAATTTTGACAAATGCAACCTCACACAAATATTCAAGCAGGGTGGTGACAAATAACCTGTGGTGAGTCTTGTTGAAGCTTCTGTAATCTTTCTTTCCTGATTTCAACCCAACCTGCTGTCCCTCGTGCCATGCTGTCAGAGCATCCAGTTGTCACAGGAGGGGCAGCAGAATGGTTCATCTGTGCCTTGCCATTGCAGTTAACACTGCAGTTGATTTATATCATTGATTATGATGGATTTTTGCTAAGATGCCAGATTAGATGAGCTGTAACAGCTGATGTACAGACAAACTGGCCATTCTCAGTCTTTTCTCCTCCTTTTGTCCACATATAAACACTTGCCTCTGCCAGAAATTATTTCCAATGGAGGAATCAGGAATTCTTTCAGCTGCTCCACCAAGATTCCCAGAGCTCATCTGGCAGGGCTCTTAGTCTGACTCTTGCATCCTTTGGAAAGAGCCATTTTGCTGCATGGCCTAGATCTACCATCTGTTTTCTCTTCCATTGTGAAATGGGGCTAACTATGTTTATTCATTCAACAATGAAAGGTCTGATAGAAGTGCAGATCTTAAGGATTTGTTTCCTCTGTCAAATATTGAAGTTGGAGGTGAATTCAAAGCATGGAATTCAGAATAATTCAGTAAATAGAAAAATAGGAACATGGAAGCTAGTGCAAGGGGCGCAGAATTTGATTCATTCTACAAAGAGATCTGTCTACAACTAATCACTTACAGATCTGAGGATCTTTCCTAAAGCAGCTCTCGATAGCAGAGGAGAAAGGATTTTTTCCACTTCAGTATAAATTGAATTGCATCCAAAAAAAAAAAAAATCAAGGCCTCTTGTGTGCTTGTAAAGTATGCCTCCTATGTAGCCATTTCTAAAATGGAGGGCAGGAATTGAGTAGACAGTGGCTGACACAGGCAACCTAACTCATCCTCTCACTGCTTCAGTTTCATCTTCACAATAAAAAATAATTTTAAAAAGATTATTGTTTTTTATTTTTTTCACTCTGACATTTTAACCACCAGAATATGATGTTAAGTGTTTATATTTCTTTCTGTAGGCAATGATGAGCAAGTCATACTCCATGATGTTGAAAGGTAAATATACGGTTTGTGTTTCCACTACTTCATCAATTCCATTAATGTTAAGTCACTGGAGGCAATGTTTTGTTTTAATTTAATGTCTGGGAGAAGAGTAAAGTCTGTTTTAATTTCAAAACATGCCTTTTCTTAATCCAAATTCATATCCGTAATGAAGTGTTCTCCCTCCTCCAACCCCATTTTTAAGCAGAGTGGAGAAGAGAATGACTATTAAGTACAGGTGCTCTCCTCAAGACAGCATAGATGTTCTGAGTAGATTCACAGCCAGATTTTTACAGGTATCCTGGCACATAAAGTTTTGTTTTTCTCGAATTCCTGAAACACTTGCCTAACTTGTGTTTAAGTTTGCTAGTGCCTTTTAAAGCTTTGGCTGCAGCTGGTTGACTCTGCACATTAATGTGAAATACATTTGTTTTCATGTTTATTTTTTACCAAAACTGTGAAGCCATGGTGGATTAGGCTTTGGTGCAGTACACCTGGGTTAGGTGATCAGTCAGTGTGTAATTATTACAATAGTAGTGATGTTTTAGATTAGAACTGTCAAGATAATGCACGGTGTCTCTCGAACTTCCTACCCATGAAGTACAATTTTTGTAAGCTAAAGTTCTGGGTCTTCATAACTCCTACAGATTTCTCAGTGATGCTTTAAATATGTGATATTCAAGAATATCAAAAATTAAAAAAAGAGAGAGATAAATGTAAGAACAGAGAAATATAAAACCTTAAATCTTTTGTTTTGCCTGAATTCTTGTTAGCGTAGTTTAGAAATATTTCTTGCTCGGTTTGTTCAAAGCTTTTTGTGTTGAATTGATCCAAGTGTACATCTGCCTTTCATCATACATTGTATACCTTTTTCATATAGAATCTTAATTGAGAGTTGGGCAGAGGTACTTTTGTTTTGCTTTTCAAATATGTTCTTGGGAATATTGTATGTTGTCTACCTGTCTGTGAGTGGATTTTTTTTAATTAAACCTGGAAATATCAAAATTTTAGAAGATGCTGGTGCTTGTTTTTTTATTCTGTCTTTTAAAGCTTTTGCAGGAACATCGTCGTATTATTGTTTCTATTTAAAAAATGCTTGTTCCTTCTGTCTTGCTTAGTTGTCTTAACAAGACTTTTTATTTATGTCTTTTTTAAGTTGTTTGTTTGCCACACTTTGTTTGTTTAGTACGAAACATATTGTAAAGCATATTGAGTGCATTTCTCTAGTACTATTTGCATGATTATATTTTTTGAAAGGAACCTAATTAATCTGACACATGGACTTCTGTTTTTCTGGAAAGTTACACACTCTTCTTGAAAGATAACTGTGTATGCACCTGGTCTATCAACTGCATTTTAGTTTCTTAAATGATTTCTGCTATTGCTGGTTGTTGGGCCTCTTTTTCTTAGTCCCCTATAAGGCAGAATTCAGAGTTTAGCCTTTAAGAACAGGAAGTGCAGTATGAGCAAAGGCACTGTGCTTAACACAGAATCTTTTTGGTGGAGTTTCCACTACTTGCTTACATTGATTGTGTACCAAAGATATTTCTTTAAGAAATAAGGCTTTTTCAGCTTTCTAGCTGAAGGCCAGACACTTGGAAGGGACCTGCTTTCATTTGTTCTGTTTTGTTGCTTTTTACATGGAAAAAAAGTAGGTCTGGTCTGTCTTGTAGAACCTAGAAAACTTATAAAGAGTCAGCTGGAAAGTTGTCCTTTTGTGAGACTTGACTTATCTTTTTGGATGAAAAAGTACCCATGTTCAAGAATTTACTTTTGTCTTTGGTTTGCTTTTCAGATTAAGTAGTAAAAATTTAATGTCTGTAGGTCCTCAGATCCCAAGATCTCCACATGCCTTTTCCCAAGCTTAATCTGATAAAACATCATTTCCATGGCCCCTTGTGGATTCTAAAGCTTTTAGTATGTGTTTTTTCTTTGGCCTGTCTCTGAGTGTTTTTGGTTTTCTTTTACTTTTCCCACCTTTTTTCATCATAATATGTCCTGATCACTGTATATGTTTTTTAACCTCATAGCAAGAACCTTGTGTCTAGTTGGAGTAGGATTAACCTTGTCACTGAGTATTGTCAAATAAATTAAAATGTAAACACTATTTGCCTTTTAAAACAACTGCTGTTAAAGCAGAGTAGAAGAAGAAGGAATGATATCGTGTGTCTCTTCCAGCACTGAGACTCTGGATGTGTTTGCCCATGAAGATGCAGTCTATGGTCTTTCAGTGAGCCCAGTAAACGATAACATCTTTGCCAGTTCATCGGATGATGGCCGGGTTCTTATCTGGGACATCCGAGAGTCCTCCCATGGAGGTGAGAGCTGTAACTGGAGATGATCCTTGATTTAGGAAGAATTTGGGAAGGCAAATGTTTGTCTGGGAAGATGGAGACAGGGAGTGTTGGGGAATTTTTATAATTTTTGTGGCTGGTGATAGCCATTTCCTAATTTTTACAGTCCACTGTTACTGTTTTAAATGGCTTTATAAAGTACCTGCCTGTGGTGGTCTATCATAGAAATTGGTATGAATAGGTTTCAACTTGAGGATATGTTCCAGTGGAGGATGTTCCTTCAATAAAAACATCTTTTAAACTTGATAACTGCCAGGACCACGGCTTACATGTTTGTCTTAGAACACTGTTTCTCTGTATACCCTAGGATAAAATAAAAAAAAAGAAATTTACAGAGCCATTATTTTGATTTGAAAATAAAATTTTATCTATTTATACTTCCCTGGGACATTGAGAACTGTTCATGTGCATGACATATCCCAGTCCCTGTGTGACCTGTGGGATTAACATGACCAAACAAAATCACTTTGTCAATTGCTTGGAGAAGGAGAGAGAGAGAGAAAGAGAGAGAAGAAAAAAAAAAACCCAAAGCAAAGAAAAAACCCCCAAACTATTCTTGTATTTATATGGAATTTGAAAGTCCTAAGGTGATAATAAAAAATAAGCAGAATTTCTACCTCATCTTTGTTTTCAAGAACTGAACTGAATACTGTAGCCTCTCTAAACTCTACCATCTATGTTGTACTTCCAAAACTGAAGAATCTTTGTTTAGAACAGAGAACTGGTCTTAGCTTGGAGGGAAAGGAAACAGACTCTGTAATTCTCCAGATCACTCAAGTCTCAGTTCTCAGATTTGTTATCTTTAGAATGAGGTATAAGCACGATTTATTTTTCCTGAGGTAGCCCTGTCCCACTTCATGGTGGAACTAGGTGCTGTTTAAATGCGTCTGTATGGCTGAAACTGTTCAGTATCACAATCTCCAAGTGAGACCAAAGTTTCTGAAATCGTGTGAAATGAGGAATGTGTTTTTTTGTTTGCCATTAAATTAAGGTAATAGTTGATACTGCTTTACTGTTGCCAAGATTTTCAGTGAGAGGGCTGCACTAGTGAAAAAGGGCTGATTTGGTTAATTTGAGGCTCTTTTGGGTAGCTTCTGCACTTCTCTGAATTTCAAGTAAGGGGGTTTTGCAAGCTCATACAGGGGTCCTGAGCCTGAGCTTATATGTAAGCCCTGCTAGCGATTACTGCAAAATATAATGCTTGTCACTGAGGTAATCCCCTCGCCTGCTGTGGTATTGCCATGGGAATGGGCACTGTGCCTGCCAGGGCGGGTGTTATTCCGCACTGGCCAACTCATTAACATCTCACAAGCTACCTCCTGGTTTAAAATAGAGTGTTTTTAAAAAGCTAAGAAAGTAATTGCAGTCCCCTTCTGCTTCTCCTTGTCCTCTGCTGCTCAAGAGATTTGCATAGCGTTGTTATAAACTCTCTCTCCTGGCTTTTTTTTGGGGTGTGTTAACCACTTCCCTCAAAAAGCAAACATTTTCATATTCCAGTGTGCGAGGGCCACAAGTGTGAAATAGGCATAAAGAGCAACAACAAAACAAAAGCCCTTATTTTTCATTAAGGTGCCTCAGTGCCTCATTAGTTTGGATATTGTAATATCTCTTTAAATGAACAGGCTGAAAGGCAACTTTTGATAACTATAAAAACACAGTGGTACCAGGTCAGGCTATTTCTAATGAAGGTGCAGAGGAAAACCAGTAATTAGTGACAGTGACCTGACTAACTGAACATGCATAAACTAAAACTGTTTATTTTTAAATTGCCCAATGAATGAGTTGCTCTCTGATGCAGTGTCAGTTTCTCCCCTCAGTTAACGCAAGCCAGTGCTTCTCAGTGGAGGCTGCCATTTTAATAACACAGCAACATACATCCCAGCAGGGACCCAGTTTGATGATGCAAATGTAGAAGGCCAGTTTTGCTGTTAAACCTTGCTTGGAACTACTGGCAGATCAGCACCAGTCTTTAAAGCTTTTGAGTGGCCAGTAGAAGAAAAGTTTGCTCCTGTCCTTGCCCTTCCCTCTGCCTCTTACAGCAATTAATGGCACCTGGGAGCTTCAGCTGTGGCCAGAGACTGCTAATTGCTAAATAAGGAAGCCCCTGCCCTGAAAAGCTTATAGTAGAGCATAAGAGGAAGATGCAGGGGCAAGTTGGCATTAATTTTTCTCTGTTTTGTGATGGGCAGTAGGTACTGGGAATTTGGTGGGGAGGACTGTCTGTTCAAGCATGTTTTGTGTACCTTAATGGGGGATACGAAGGAAGAAAGTGAAGTACTTCTGTAGGCTTTTGCAAGGCTAAAGGTGCCTGTACATGGTTACCTGAATGGGGACAGTAACAAGGTCTCCCAAACAAGAGGGAGCAATACAACTGTTGCATCAACGCAAGCAGTGAATGGAAATGCATCCCTGGCTCCAAAGAGGTGTCACTGCTTCTTTTGGTTGAGTGAAAGAACAGTAGTTTGTTGCAGAAGACACAGATAATGAGAATTAGGCTATGCCCACAGTAGTAAAGCTAGCAGAAAGAGGCAGGACGACAAGGTCAGCTAGTCCACTCTTTTTGGAGGTAGTATTTTGGTATAATGAGTAGGGCAGAGGAGCAGGCCAAAGAGTTTCTTCCACTAATCAAAATGAGAAGAAGAGAGGCCAGATGGGCATATTCTTATGTGTGCGAACAGAAAAAGCTAACTGTTGAAGCACTTAAAGTGCTTCCTTCTCCTTGTAAACATGTGCAACTGCTGAATAATGCTTGAAGATATAATAGGCCTCTTTTCCCTGGAGCTGGCTGTTGTTTTAGAGCTGACTTTCTATACAAATTTATCCCATCTTTTGTAGTATTTCTCTTCCATATAACAGTTGCTGCTGCAGTTAATTTTGCTGACCGTGGATGGCTGGGGAAATTCAGATATCCATGTTTTTTGCTAGAAAGTTTTCAGAAGCCTTCCATATAGTCTGTATTAGATTACTGTTTGGTCATGAACCTTAAGAAGATTCTAATACTTGGTCTTTGTAAGTGGCTAGTTTTAAATTTTTGGTTAGCATTTTTACCATAAGCAACATGGTGTCTTGAAATCCAATATGTATGTTTATCTATACTTGGAGAAATTTGGTGTATGTGTGGGTGGATTTTAAAACCTCAGTTTTTATATTGCTGTGAATGTGTCAGCTTTAGAAATGGTTTGAACATGTCTCCATATCTGCAGATCTTGTTATGCTATTTCTCTATCAAGCTGCCAAACTCATTACATCAGTCATGTGCATTGTTTGTTCTTATGTCTAACATGTACACTTTTCCAACAGAGCCCTTCTGCTTGGCACACTACCCATCAGCCTTTCACAGTGTGATGTTCAATCCAGTGGAACCCAGGTTGCTGGCCACTGCCAACTCTAAGGAAGGTGTGGGACTCTGGGACATTCGTAAACCTCAGAGGTAAGACCTGCTTGTCCTGGTCCTGTGCTCTGCTATCTTTTTTCCTTAGCAGGTGACAGCATGCCATGCCATCTGTGTAGTCGAAACACAAAATGGTAAGAGAAGATGTTTAACAAAGTTAACAGCAATATGAGTAATATCAAATTAAGTAACGTATAATTAACATTCTTTTCCATACATATGATCTAATTCAATTCAGAATAGGGCTGGATCTTTCACATTAAGGTAAGTGATTTTCTGAAAGCATGTCTTGACTTGGGCTGTTGTGTTGAGTTCTCAGCATGATAGGTAAAGCACTGGCTAGGTAGTGTCAGCAGAAGCCAGGGTGACCCCTGCCTGGCTTGCAGTTTGTTCTTCAACCCAAGACTAAGGATTGCACCAAGTCAGGTTTTTACTTGTTATTTAAGAGTTTTACATGTCTTTCTAGACACCTAGATAGTCAGTTTGGCGGCATGGAGTTAATTGATGTGTCCCCAGAGTTGTATATGTTTTTGAACAAATATACAACAAAAAGTTAGATGATAATTTGTAGCGTTATGTATTGTTAGACCAGGCTCTAAAGTACACAAATGCAGTGTCCAATACTGGAGTTTGGCATGCAGGAGTGGTTAAATTTCTGTTGAAGCCTTTTCTAAACTTTCAGATTTGAAATGTAATTTTGCTTTTTGATATGTAAAAATGTACTCCCCCACCTCCTTTTTGCAGTCTTTGTTTCTTATTTTCAATTGCAAATGTCAGGGTAGAAAGAATAATTACAGACAAGTGAAAGGAGGAGAAGGTGAGTGGCAGTGTGTTTACAAGTTAGTAGTCTCCGCTATGAAAAACTTCTGTGTGCACATATATAGTCTTTATATGAAGAATGATGTTGTTACACTGGCATAAATGTGCTGATAAATCTATGCAGATGCAAAATCCAGATGGAGCCTTTAACTTAGGCAGCTAAGTCAAAATGGGTCTCTCCATACAATCAGACGGGTTATATGGAACTAATAGGAATAAACAGTGGAAGTAACTATCACTAAAGATACTCTCACTGATGCTAACACATGATTTTGAAGAGATTCTTGAGTTAGATACTGATGAGCTGTTGTTCAGAGTGCAACAGCAATCAGGTCACAGGGTACCATGAAGATCCTCAAGCTAGATGCCCTCCTGCCTTCTTTCTCACCCTTAATAAACACGAGGCAAAATGTGTGGTGTGAGATTGTGGAGGACTGGTGTATGTGTCGTAAAATTGTCCGTGTTCACACATTTAAGGATGCATTTTATTTGTATCATGACTTTGTTCTTTCTGGTGCCAAGTACAATGTTGTAATATACTCTAATTGGTAATGCTTCTTGGCAAGTGCTTCACTTTTCTTTTTAAGTTTTGTTCATCTTGCTATGATGCACTCTTGGACAAAGGATATTTCTGGCAAAAACTTGTACAGTATTCAGTAGGATATGGCTGTCTCGTGCAACTTCAAATGATCAGCCCTAAGTTTTCAGGGGTGTTTACAGATTTAATAGTTTTCAAGGGTCACCAATTTTGGATGCTCAGTTTGATCAAAACATTTCAGTAACACAAACAGCCGCTAAAATTCAGATTGAGAGCATCTTAAAGGTAGATTCTTAGATGTATCAGTTTCTATTTTTTCTGTTGTTTTGTCTTCAATTTAAAGCAGTACAGATACTTTCTAAAGAACTTTGAGCTTAAAATTCCTGTAACTTACAGAACCAAGCATCCCTACTGGTCAGAGCACCTACATGAATGGTTACTGTGCAGCCTCATATTTGTAATGTTTTACAATTGTTTCCCAACAGCGAGATCATGCATTTGGGAGAGGGGGAGGCAGCAGAGCAACCTCTTGATGCAACAAGGACAGGATTGCAATATAGCTACTTAGCAGCATTATTGCAGGGATGACAATGTCACACTGAAAAAGCTGTCACCCAAAAACTCTTCTTGTTTGTATTCCTCCTTCTCCCTTTTAAACCGGCATCAATTCAAGAGGAGCCTCAATTCAATGCAGAAAGTTAAAATAGAAGTTATTTACGTCCCGCATGGCTGAGTTGCCTAGTGGTGCTGCAACTCTTGTTTTTCCCTCTTTGTGATGTGTTAGTATTCCTGATTTTTTTTTCTCTCAAGTGAATTTTAAGCTGAAATAAGTCTTATTGCTTGTTCTTTAAAAACAAACCTTAAAAATAAACGTATTCCTGATGAATGAGGCTGCTGTGAGGCCGCTGTGCCACTAGATGGGGCATACGCTGCACTGTGCTGGTACCTGCTGCTAGGGACTTGGTGGGGGCGACTCTTCGCATCATATTTTTGCAGGTATTCAAATAAGTAGCTAAATATTAAACAGGTATTTTCAGGCCCTTTACCTCAAAAGGGTTTCCCCTGGCTCCCCTCACCTCTCCCTCCCAGCCTAATGCCCACCTCCTTCCTTTTCCAGGAATCAAAATGTGTTTTTTCTTTCCCCTAAGAAAGCATGGTAGTTATCTCCTTAGTTTGTTCTTTTCCTGTGTGCCTTTTTTTTTTTCTTCTTTTTTTCTCCTCTGCCTCCCTCTCAACTAATCTGTAAGCTATTGAGATCAAAGTAGTTATTGGCTATTTAAAAACAAAACAACAACAACAACAAAACACTTGAATTCTGACCTGACTGAGTGTATGAGACTTCTCTGTATGGTGAAGGAGTATGGAATCTCCCTGTAGCCATGGTAATGTAAGGACATAGTCAGAAGTCTGTAGGTGTTTTACACGATATGGACATGCTGACAGAAAGCTTACAGGTTCACAAGCCTTGGTCAGGTTTGAAATAGAAGTGGTAGCTGTGAGACCTATGGGCCATCTGAGAAGGTATTTTTGCAGAGTTCAGGCAGGTGTGTGTCAAACAGACTCTCCTGATGGCAGAGAGGTAGTTAATATCCCTGGAATAGATGGATGGCTTATGGTGCTATTTTTTTATTTTATTTTCTTGTCTATCTGTTTGTTTTCTTCCTGTCGGGTGGGAGGGGAAGGGGCAGGGAGAGGAGGAAGGTGATGAGTACTTGCAGCTGTGTCTCTGTTCCAGGGGTGATATTTATGTGCTGTGGAATAAAGAACTTTGGAGAACACGTGATGGAGGGGGAAGATGATATAAGGTCATAAAACCAGAGCCTCAGCTAGGTCGATAGGTTTAGGTGTCTGATAATTGTCAATTCTAGTTTCTAAGTTCATATCTGGAAAACATTTGTTCCTTCAGGATCAGACCAGAGGAATTCAGATAGCTGTTATTCTGTGAAGCATGTTCATACACTGATAGATGAGTGTGATTCTTTCCAGCATATCTCCCTGAGCTCACTCTCATGCGTAGATGTTCCTGCTTTATTTGGGTGCTATCAAAAAGGTGCTGGTTGTGTTGGCTGAAGCACGTCAACCTTCTGGAAATGCAAGGGTGGGATCTGGTATCATTGATGGCCTTGTGCCAGGCCACTATTTACTGTAGTAGCCTCGCAGATGCGTTGGAAAGTTCTGCAATTCTTGCACGGGAACAATCTTAATCCATTTGTTGTATTTTGCACTCCAGAGTTTGCATCTGACAATGAGATTTGGGCTTGTTTAGAGGCTAGAATTGGTGGACTGGGAGATTTGCTTTCTAAGTAGCTTCTTTGGTTGCAACTGTTTAATGGTTTTTCCACTCAAGTTTCTGATGGGGCAATACATGATGCCAACAAGAGTGGGATGGAAGGAATAAAATGTGGAGGCTTAAGATTTCTGCTTGTCTTTGCATTTTGGCCTTTTGCGTAGGGGAAGGAAAGTACTTACCACATCTAATGCATGTGCTTTGGAATTGCCAGTGCCCCTGGAGATGGACAAGAAGGAGCCTTGTGTCACCGAATCAGCAGCTAGCTCCTCAGTTGTTTCCGTGCGATAAAAACGTGCCGCGTGTTCCCGTTTGAGACCTTTGCGAGTCCTCCCTGCGCAGAGCTCTGTACTAGCGAGCCCAGGAAAAGTGTGTGTATCCTGGCAACCAGTTTTCATTGTCGAGTTTGTCAGTTTCAACCAAGCCACTCGTTGTGAATTCTATTTTTACACTGCTTAAACCAACTGTCATTGAGCTAGATTAAAATATAACAAGTTGTAAGTGCTGTTTAAGCACTTGCCCATATGGGTCAGTCATACCATCCTCAGGTGGTTGAAATAACTACTTATCCTCTCCAGCTTGGCAAATACACCTCACCTCACACTTGTAGCCATTCTTGTCTGTCCTTCTTCTATGCTGCTGGGGCAGCTCAACTTATTTTTGAGTCTTAAACTAGAATTTGATGTTTTACCAGGTTCAATTTGGTACAGGCGCCTCACATAACACAAAAAGCTAAACTAAGATATTCTCTCTTCCAATTTATTTTCTGATATTTCTTCTAAGTTCCCTTTTTACATTACGAAAAATTGAATGCCGAAGTTGGATATTGAATGGAGATTGAATTATTCTTTTATGGGAACCTTTAAGATGTGTAGAAGGAGCTTTGAATGGCAGGTACGTTTTTCTTGTGGGATTATCTTTTGCTTTGGTTTTTCCTTACTTTCATGCAGCTATAAACAAATTCCAAACTGTTCTCTTTATGTTTCAGCCAAAATCAAAGGATTACTTTGGTGACAGAAATATCAGAGGTGATCTATGTCTCAAGTAGGGACCACTGAAGACAGATTTGGAGAGTACTTTAAAATTAACCTTTCAGACCTTGGGCAAAGAGAGTGTGACAGTTACCTGGAATTTAGGCATGTTAATGCTCAAGTGTTTTTTCTGCTGGACAGAGCTCGCTCTTCATGTCTGCCCATTCTTGCCATTTTAGATCAGTCTATGCTTCTTTTTCTACTAAAGGCAAAAGTGCTACCCTAAAGTAGATCACTCAACTTAGTAATGGATATTTTCATTCTGAAGCAAGTGGTCTTTTCTGCTATTCGTATGGGCACCGCCTTACAGGTAATCTAGAGGTACTTCGAAAAATGTGGAAGTGTCTGCTGGTTACCACCTCTT